GACGCGGCGATAGAGAACGACGCGGCGAGAGAGAACGACGCGGCGAGAGAGAACGACGCGGCGAGAGAGAACGACGCGGCGAGAGAGAACGACGCGGCGAGAGAGGACAACGCGGCGGGGAAGGGCTACGGAGCGATGAAAGACGACGCGACAGAGAGGAACGATGGGGAAGAGAAGAACAACAGAGCGGGGAAAGACGACGCGGCAGGTAGAAACGACGGAGCGGGGAAAGCCGACGACGCCGCGGGAAACGACGATACCGCGTTCCACCCCGGAAGCGATGACGCATCGAGCGACGCGAGCGAGCGGAGATCGGCACCAGAGGGCGCTGACGCAGCGGCGATGGAGAGCGCGCACAGTAGCGGCTCGGGCAGCCCGTTGCAGACGTCTATGATGCAGCGTATATGGCGGGACATTCGCCAGCACGCGGCACACTCCCTCGTCGAGCCGTCCGACTCCGAGGACACGGACCCGCGTACGTGCAGCGACGACGACGACGACGATGGTGGCGGCGGCGGCGGCGGCAGCGGCGCAGCGGCAACGACGACGGGAGAGAATGAGTCGTTCTCCTATCTCATGAGCCACAAGATATACAGCCTGCCGATTCCACTGGCTCTCAAGCATTACCTGAACTTTCACCGGGAGTTCAGCGGTCGTTAGGCCGCGTGGGTAGAGGGCGTGTGAGTCGGCATGAACATAGAGGATACGTTCGTATGAGACATTTTGTAGACATGATTGTGGTGTCGGCGATCGAAGGGTTGTTTGTGACGTGGCCGTGCTTGAATGTACTAGAAGGATGCTGTGATATTCCTTCTGATGGATGAGTGGGATTTGCATGACTTTGATGTAAATTAGCGTGCTAGTTATGAGTGTTATTAACTATCCGGTTTGATGGGACTAGTCACGATTGTATACAGTGAGGAGTTCTGACATGGTTTTAGACGTCACTGTGTTTATTCCTTTGTATAAATGGAATGATAGTGTTTGGAAGTTTTTGCATGTGAAAAATTCACGAGAAAGGTGAAGGGTACTTGCAACGTGGTGGAAGAATTTCTCTGCATGATGGTGGCAATTACTAATTGTATATTTATACGTTATGCGTTGTAGCTTTATATGATTGTATATAAATTGTTGTATAATATGTGTGAATTGATATATTCAGGGCAGGTATAGGCATTGGGTAAATTTTTCTTACTACAACAATACAGAGTTTCGTTTTGCACACATAGAGTTTTTAACAGTTGCCTGTTCTAAATCTAATCTACAAATTGAGAAGTGGCATCTGTGCCTATAGACTAATTATTTGATCATTTATTCTTTTGTGGAGATATGCGATCACGTATCGAAAATTTGGGTAACCAAGGGGTTGAAGCCAATGTGTACAGCCGAGAGAAAATAGGTCTTTACTACTAAGCTGTATATAATAACAATGTTATTATATACTGTTCAGTGATATTTAATAAAGCACGAATTGTGTTACAGATCTAAGCAGTGGCAGGATTAGGGTGGAAATACACGTGTGGGCTTATTTTATATTTATGTTGAATATTCCCAATTTTCATGAATTTGAAAAATAGTGTAAGCTGTCGTTTAGCTGCATTACAGCATAGATCTATATATATAAACACATATACGTTTGTATTTGTATCTATGGTTACGGCATTCGGTCTGTTATGGCGCTGCCGGAAAATGTTCATAAGCGAAATATTCGTCGGTGTACAGTAGGCATCATTAGCTCACGTGAAAAACTATGTGCCTTTGTCACACGATCGGATGTGGGAACAGGCGTTTCATTTGTACGTGGAAAATTGGAATCGTTCGCGAATATTTGTACAGTCCGTCCACTTTTATCAGCGTGCACAGCACTCGACCACTTTGTATTGCAGCTGCTCGCTCTCATGTAAACAAGAGAATTTCATAATGAAAAGTCGCATATCCGTGCTGGCAAGAATAGTGCCGGCGTCATTACTGAATGCCACATAGCATATCTGATAACAGGTGTTAGCGCAAAGATAGTAAGATAAATATCTAGTGTCAAAGATGATTTAGTATTATTAATAATACTATCACTACTACTACTAATTATAATTATAATTATATTTATATTAATAATTACAATCGTCGCGACGATTTAATTTGAAATAAAAGTTTAATTTGAAAAGTAGACGGGCGCAAAGTCGTTCGGCTCGCGGTCACCTTGAGCGTTCAAACCATAGAAATAATGTAAGTAGATATAGTCTCTCTCTATATTTCTATGGTTCAAACGCTTCGTCGGTCGATCGTCCAGCACCACGGCAACGAGTCCATCTATGTGTGAAAACCCCGACATGGTGGTTAGTTTGATCACAGATTTACTCGCTAATCTGTGGTTTGATTTTGTTACAAATGCTTTGATATGCAACGCGGCTGCCAGGTCTAAACGTCGGCTTGTCGGACGCTGGTGTCTATCTATCGCTCTTCGTAGACGTATAGCCGTGAAGCCTGGCGTGCGTTGTTGTGCCGATTGGCGTGGATATTCGTATAGAGTCGTGATATATGTGTGTCGTATTTGGAATTTGGCCAGATTTAGAATTCGTTAATCGAATTCTTCCCTTTGAGCAATTGCCGCATGTTCACTGGTGGCCATTTTCATAGTAATATATGTATATATATCAAGTATATATATATGATTTCTCCTTCTAGCTATCTCTTTCTCTTTACTAATATCTCTCGCCGCACTCTAACTATAGCTCTGCTCTATCGTTTGAACTATATATATATATATATGTTTATGGGTGCGATGGGTCGCATGTGATCGCGTCGCAGCGAATACGTGGGTGAATCCGTGTTAATGTAATATATGAACAACGCACGGCACTATGATAATATACAGATGTGCCGCGTTATTACGGAGACCACGTAGCTGCTGCAAGCAGTAGTTGGTGGATCGACGTCGCGTAGGAGGACGTCGCGTGAGTGGGTGATGCGGGGAGACGGAGATTCTAAACTCCCACCTCCCACCCCTTACACACGTTTGCACGGATGCGTATGTTAAGCGGACACACGAGCGCATCATTGAGTGAAAGGTTTAACGTGATCGTCGCGGCGAGTTCTCTGACCTTTCTGGCGGAATGCGTTTATTGATTGTCGGCCGACGGGTTGCATCGTGGAGATTAATGCGGGCGCATCCCTGCCTTCTGAATGAGACGGACTCTTAGTAATGCATGTTCGGTCTGTCTCGCCTGTCCGCGGCTCACTAGGAATAAAGATTCCATGCGAAGCAATCCCGGGTCAATAATAGCGCGGAAATACTTGATCCGAACGATGTAATGTAAGATAAATTGACGGAGTCTAATAAAGATACAGTAAACATAATGTCGCCATGGTTACAGTGTTGGTTTCACGCGCCCAATTAGACATTATAGATTGAAACAATAATTTGACGGCAAAAGCGCAACGGAACATGGGAATACGTGTTCGAGTGTAATTAATAGACTGCAGTCCAGTGCGGGGTATTGTGATGCACGTGAATTCGGTACTAATTAATGTTTTGTTGTAAGAGACAAGACTTGATTACGTATGCACACAATCTTAGACACGAAACCATAGCTGAGCTCATTAATCTTAATTGCCGTATTTCGCGGTTAATGAGACGCTCTAGTGCATTAGAAACACTGACAAAATTAATAAGGTAATAAACTGGAAAATGATTTGAATACTGAATAAGCCCTTCCCGCCAACAGGCATATATATATATATATATATATAAATATATCAGAAGTAGATAATATAGGGAATTTCCTATTATCTACTTCTGATATATATACATAAATATGTGTAGTATATTATGGATTAGGTTGGTATGTAGCCGTGTTTCTACGGGTGTCGTCGACCATGCGCACTGATAGCAGAATTTTCTGCATGACATCGCCGCTAGTCGCCTCGCTATATAGTCATAAGAAGCTGCAGGATATAGTATATAGCTATATATAGTTATAGCTCGCGCAGACGAACGTACGTATGTACGCACACACACACACGCACGCACGCACACGCACACACACACACACACGAAGTAGCGAGTGAGAGGTGAGAGTGAGATAGGGAGACAGAGATGATAGGGGAGACAGAGAGATAGGAGAAACAGAGAGATAGGGAACAGAGAGATGGAGACCAGAGAGGATGGGGCGAAAGTGAGGGAGGACGAGAAAGGACAAAGCGAGAGGAAGCGAGAGGGCGAGTGGACGTGAGAGAGTGCGAGTGCGAGTGAGATAGAGGAGAGAGAAGAGATAGCGAGCCAGAGAGGATGGGGCGAAAGTGAGGGGGAGGACAGAGACAGGACAACGAGAGAGCGAGAGAAGCGAGAGCGAGAGCGAAGAGACGAGCAGAGATGAGAGAGAGAGAGAGAGGAGGAGAGAAAGCGAGAGAGCGAGAGAGCGAGAGCGAGAGCGAAAGAGAGAGAGAGAGGAGAGTATATAAGAGAGAGAGGAGAGAGATGAGAGAGCGAGAGAGAGAGAGAGAGAGAGACGGAGAGAGAGAGAAGCGAGAGAGCGAGAGCGAGAGAGAGAGAGAGAGAGAGAGAGATGCGCGCGCAAGAGAGAGAGAAGGAGGAGAGAAAGAGAGAGGAGGACACGAGCGCGCGCGAGAGAGAGAGAGAGAGAGAGAGGGAGAGAGAGAGAAGAGAAGAGAGAGCCGAGGAGAGAGAGCGAGAGCGAGAAGCGAGAGCCGAGAAGCGGAGCGAGAGCGAGAAGCGAGATAGAGACAGAGATTAGAGATAGAGAGAGAGAGCGAGAGCGGAGCGGAGGCCGAGAGCGAGAGGAGAGCGACGAGCGAGAGCGAGAGCGAGAAGCAGAGAGGCGAGGAGAGAGAAGAGAGAGAGAGAGAGCGAGAGAGAGAGGGGATAGGATAAAACTACACAGCACACTTTCATTGTCAGTCGCAACTGATACGTCA